GGGTCCTCGCTCCGCGTGGTGCGGGGCGAGCTCAGTCCCGGGCGCGGCTGGCGACTTCAAGCTCTGCTTCCTCCCCGCTTCGCCCAGGTGTCAATGCCATGCTCAGGAAGGTGGCGGTGGCTGCCGCCTCCAAACCCCACGTGGAGATCCGCCAGGACGGGGACCAGTTCTACATCAAAACTTCCACCACTGTCCGCACCACTGAAATCAACTTCAAAATCGGGGAGAGCTTTGAGGAGGAGACGGTGGATGGACGGAAGTGCAGGGTAGGAGGAGAGCTGGGGGTGCGGGGGTGTGTGTGCATGTTACTAAGTTATTTTTAGATGGGACAAACCCATCTGCTGCTGGTGTCCCCAGACAGTGGCAGTGCTGCCCTTCCACCCTCTTCTTCCCAGAAAAACTTTTGGGGGGTTTTTGGTCGTTGCTGTTCCTCTTGTTCTTCATCCGACATTCTCCCTCTTGCAGGGTAAAACTGAAATCTGAAGGTAAAAGAGCATAGCAGGTCCCAAAGGCAGAGTTTGAATACCTGCTTGATGTCTCCTTGGCTGGCAGGGTTTTGTCCAGCTCCTTTTGCTTCCTTCTCCCCTGGAGACCTCAGCTGTAGTGAAAGCTCTCCCCAGCCTCCGTCCCTGACGAGAACACGGGGAACAGTGGAGCAAGAGGGACCTCAAGAGTCAGGATTTAGCGCACAACCTGATATAACTTTTGTCCTAAACTGAATCAGCTGAGTTCACAAGCAGGACCGCAGCCTGTTGGTAGTTTGGGGCTGAAATCCTCTTTCATTCCCTCGCAAGTGCACATCTCCAGTTTGCTGGTCAGATAAGTCTTTAACAGTGTAAGACAGACTTTCAGCTAGTGTTATACCAGCCATAATTACACCATCTCCTTGAGCAGAAGTGCATTAGAGGGCGTTCACTGGAGTGTTTGGGGCTTGATTCTGTGTGTGAGCCCCTGCTCGTCTACTTTTGTAACCACTTCTATAGCTGTGGAGGGGGCTTTAAGTCGGCGGCAGCATCTAAGACCAGCTTCTCACTGGTGTAGACACATAGGATCCAGGGTTTTGGAGAACTGGGCTGTGATCATAGCTGTCTTTTGAAAAAAAGTTATCAAAGGCATGGCTTAGTTATCCTTTCCTCAGGCACTTTACTCTCACACTTATAAGAGAAGTATATATAAAACACTTAGAAAAGAAGTATGAATAAAGAGTATCAGAACGCAGTACCAAATGAGAATACAGTTTTAAAAGTAGCCTATGTGGGTGAAATAATCTGCTATCCAAAATACGATCTCTGCTAATTCTTGGGGCAGCTTCTGAGACCATTTGCACCACTAAAAATTCAGAACTTCCTATCCCCAGTGAAATTGCTGTGAATTTAAATATATGAAAAAGGGAGGCAGATTCTGGGAGTCAGTCAACATTTAGAACATTCACTTGATCTCTAGGATGACTTATCGTATATTTAACAGTTTGCTCAGGAAATGTTGCTTGCTTTGTTCATTTATCTTGTTCGGCAAAAGTAGTATTTTAATGTCTTCATGCATAATGCATATGCAATAAATGTGACCTGCTTTCTAGAGAAGGATTTATTGCTGCAGATGGAAAAACAATAATTATGGCTGTAAGCTATGAAAGTTGGAAAAATCTGAAAGAAATGTGTTTTGTGAAGTAGTAAATTTTTTCCATGTGTTGTGAAATTATTTATAGTCCACTCTCAGGAATAAGTTGTACTGCTGTGTGTATATAACCAAGATGTGGCCACAGAGCAGAAACTGACAGATAATAAAGTAATACTTCAGAATGTAATTTGCAATATCTGGCAAAATTGCTGACTGGTGATAGATTTTGATACACTTTATGAGGTGGAGGGTTTTCTTCTGCCAACTAACTTGCTCCATTGTTCATACAGACAAAGAGCGACTCATATGTAGTTGAACTGCAAGGCATAGCTTCTATAACTGCCATCTGAGATGGCTTGTTGGCTTAAAAAAACTATTGTTCTGAATTAGTATTTATAAAGTAAACAGCTAATTTTAAATCAAAGTTAAGTTTTTTTCCCTTGGAAAGTCTGGGAAGTGTTAACTTGAATTTATGCATACATATGCACACACACACATGTACATGTATATAATCACAGACTAATGAATGTCTCCCATGTGCTAGTTATAAAGCGATTACTTGCACATTCATTACAGGGCATCCTTCTGCACAGCTGTTCCATTGCAATGTAGAATAATAGTTCAGTGCTAGAATGAAAAGCAACAGAGTCAAGGCTTGCCTGTTTGTGAAAGCTAAACAAAATCCTATGTTTTTTTTATTTTATTTTATTTCATTTTTCAGTGGTTTCATAGTCATTATTGAAATGCTTTGAAAAATGCCCAAGGGTATTTCAATCTCCAGACCTACAACCTTAAAAAAGTAATATCGCAAACACTAAAGTTTTAACAAAGTTTCTTTAATTTAGTTGTGATTTATTCTAGTTTGTTGGCACAATAAGTGTTTAATCTACTGTTAACTTGGCACAGTGCCATATAGCATGAAAGGTTGTAAGGGACAAATACTGCATTATTTATGACTACAAAATGATACATATGATTCTTGATGCTTTTACACTAAGGAGACTCTGTAGTGATAAATAACAAGTCAGACCAAACCACATGTGTACAAAGATGCTTGAGAATGTAGACACTACATTATCACAGGTTTGTAAATGATACTTTTCAACATCAAGCATTTTATGAAAACTGAGTGGCTTTTTAATTTGGAAGCAAATGCGAATTTATATTGAAAAGGCACATTTACAATTACTTTCTTGTTAATATAATTTTGATTTCACCACTTTCCACTGATGTCTTTTTCCCTTTGCCTTTATGTATCGATGTGTTGCTCCTTTACTGCAGCAATTATTCGCACTACTGCTCATTGTTGTCTCTCTGCCTCATGCTGCTGGGGAATATAATTAATGTTATTCCTAATGGTTTTCTTGCCTGCAGAGTTTGGCCACTTGGGAGAATGAAAACAAGATCTATTGCAAACAAACTCTTATTGAGGGAGATGGCCCCAAAACATACTGGACTCGAGAATTAGCTAATGATGAGCTGATTTTGGTAAGAATCTTGAACCCACCCGATATATGCACCATATTAACAGTTTTTTGTTACCATGTAGTATGACTTACTATTTTTTCTTACTTAAACCCATCTGGAAAACTACCATTTTCATAACCCTCTACAATAGAATTCATACATCACTTTCTTTCTTTCTTTTTATTTTTTTTTTTTAAATGAAGATATATGCAGTTTCTTAGTTGCATTTTATTGCTATAACTTTTGCCATACTTTTACTGGTAGAATAATCACAAGTGGGCCACTTCTGCTGTGTAAATTCACACTGCCACCAAAGAATTCGCTTGATTTATTGCAGATTTTCTCTGGTGGAAGTGAGATGAAGGCATTTGACCTTCTTTCTGTAGAACCTTCTTTTTTAGGCATGGGCATAATACGTTGCTTCTTAGACATAATCAGGAAAGATGTGGCATGTTGTTAGCATGCTCTAATCTCATTCTGTCTATGAAGAATATATAATTCCTCCCCGACCTCTGCCACCTTCCCCAATTCCTTGATCATCTCTGAATCCAGTTCAGAATTACCTTCATGAGTTTCTCAGCAATACATTGATTTGCACATTTGCTGTCAGCCAACATCCCCCCACTCCTGTGTGACCTTCCGTATGGCAGCAGGATTACTGTAGGCATTCTAAGCAGCATTTCTGCAACTGCCTCGATATTTACGCCATGAATTATGTGCAGTTTATTTATTTATATTGCACGTATTTCTGTTAGAATTGAGTTCTCTTCACTGAATCTTTCCTTGGTAGTCCCTCTACATTAATGAAACAATACCCAGAACTGGATAAAGACACAGTTTCTCTGAATTACAAGCAGCACAGTTCAGCTTGAGTTCAGGATCATTTCATTGCACATGTTCTTACTAGAGAATTCTGGACAAATAGTTGATTGGACTGTTATGCCTCATCAGTTTGGGCATGGAAGACATGCTGGAGTGACGGGTAAGAAAACATCAAAGCAGGGAGGTTTTATTTCAAACTATCACATTAACTAAACCTCTGCACTTTAAAAAACAAACAGTCTCCCCAGTGTTTCTCTAAAGCAGTTGGAGCTCTGTTTTTAAGATTGCGTCTGAAATAAAAACAGGACCCAAACCTAACCAAGTATAAACAAAAAGCCTTTAAGGTGTTAATATTATTCCAGACATCTTGGAACTGTTCACCCACCCCTTATGAGGAGATGTATGCTGTTAGTGAAATCACACTGGTTTCTATTGAATGAATACTCCAATTCTGGATGACTTCTTTTGACTCAACCACTGAAATTCTTCATAGTATCAAAAAACTTCAGGAGACAAAGTACTTTGATCTCTGCTTCACATCTTCATATGTAATGCAGTGGACAAAATATATTCTCAACTATAGTTTTTCCAGCTTCCTAACAATACATTTCTGTAGTTTATTATTTAAGCAACAAACTAGTGAGGCAGCTGTTAAACAAAGTGAACTGTTCCAAGCAAAGCAAGAAAGCCAGTCATAATACAATTGCCTCCTGTAATCAAAAATGTGAACTTACCCAGCTGGGAAAGAAGAATGAGATTTGTTAAGAAACCAGAGCGATTCAAAGATGATAAAGCCATCTAACCTTCTTTCTTGTATAATACAGTCTGTTGAGCTTTTCTGAATTAATTATTTTTCAAATTAGGATATAAATTAGAAAAACTTCCTTCCTAGTAAAATATTTCCATTTACAGGAACTCAATCACAACTTCCAGTAAGTTGTTTTACTGGTTAATTTCCTTGCCATTAAAGTATACTCATTTTTTCTAATCTGTGTATGTCTAGATTCAACTTCCAGTCTTTACATACTGTGTATAAAAGAACCTAAATAATATGCCTAAAGTTTGTTATTGCAAATACTTCTCTTATTAACACTGATCAAGCCACCTCCTGGAAAAAAGCTTCTTGTTGTTAAGCTAAACCATTGGAAGACCTTGAGCCCTTCAATATAAAGCAAGCTTTCCTTGAATCATTCTTTCAGTGCTTCTGTAATCCCATCCAACATATCAATTTCCTTTCTAAACTACTAAAACTTTTAAATACATGGGTCAACATGTTCAAAATCTTCTGAAAACCTGAAGCTCAGCAATGACGTGTTTCTGGTCCTTTGGAGACGTTAAGATGGCCAAAATTGACACTTCTGAGATGCAGGCAGCAAAGGGTTCTAATGTTTGGAGGAAGACAGAAGAGGGTAAGGGAAGCTACATTTTCTTGTCTGTGGCCCCTAAGTTTAGAACCCCAGAACATTCCCTACAGACCATTATTTGGGCTTTAAAAGCCAAACTACCTGAAGGGACTGGCTGAGGTGTGTTCCTCAGCTATAACAGGGAACAAAGTAGGAACAGGAGCTCTTAGTGAAAAGACCCTGTGATCCCTTTTGATCTCTTGCCTCTCAACTGTGTTTGAGTTCTTCATCACTCCAGTGAAGAAAGATTCAACTTTGATTATTTTATCTTATGCTTGGAAATTTTCCTTAGATCTGAGTCTGCAAACCCCCACTTACATCTTACTTCTTCAAAACAAAGATCACAGTGAGAAGAAGGGATCTTTGTCTTCTCCTTCCTTTCTTCTTCCATCCTCCCAGCTTTGTTAGGGTTTTTTAGGACCTGAAACTCATTCTCATCCAGTTCTGCTGCCCATATCACTTCAAACATTTAACAATTCCCATCTTCACATATTTCAACCCTCCCTACTTACCTAAGAAATATTTTTTGTTCCTTTATTCTTTCTGATGTGCTTTGGTAAGCCTTCTCCATTTCCATTCTGGCAGAGTTCCTTAAATAAGCAGAAGGAAACCACATTCTTGTGAACTTCTAGGTGTCTGCAGCTGGGAAGCTGTCTTTTATGGGGCAGAGCCTGTGATGTAGCAGTTTAGGAACTCTGCAAGGCTGATATTTATTCTCACAGTCTCTGCTCCTGTTTCTTTATCCAAAGAAATCTTTCAAGAAGTCTTGAGTCTCCCTCTTAGCTATTACATACATTTGCAGAAGAAATCAAGAAAACTCATACCCCATTTGGAAAAAAGGGTGCAAGGAAGAATCTAAACTGTGTGAGACTGAGGCATGAATGGAAAAAAGGCTTGGGGCAACAGGCAGGGGGTAAGGAATGAGTTTTACTCTGCTAATACTGGCTGCAAAATGTTGGAGCTTTGCCACATAATTTTGATCTAATATGCTGCATTGCTTAGGGGATCCATTAGATTATGACATTTTCCTAGTGGAAGGATATATTTTTCTCCCCAACACAGAATGTTAAATAAAATGCATTTATTATCACATATAATAAAAAAAAAAATCAGTTTTGAATTGTCGTGACTACCACGGAGCTAAAATAGAAACCATATTACTGTATAATTATCAATCTTTCTTGCATTCTGGCAGAAGAATTCCTTATGTTCTTCAAAGATATTCCCTTGGAGCAATATGATGGTCTTCCATGTCATATCATGTCCTCTGGTACACAGATGCTGGGAACAAACTATTTGATTAGCAAAGGTTTTCTTAACCTTCAGGTACCAGTTAAGTTTGCCTTTAGTTCTCCTTAGGTCCTTACAGCATGGAAAATGAGATTACTCTTATTAGTAGCATAAATAATATTTGACTCATGCAATGGCAGATGTAGGTCTAAAGTCCTGTTAGAGAAAGAGTCCTTTCAGCTGAATAAGGGAAGAAGGATCAAGCTCTGCTTTATAAAAAAGGTGCTGTGAATGTGTTAGAACATTGCAGCTACTTTCATCGGTGCTGTTTATTCTAATCTCATCCGATGCACTTACTGGGATTTCAGTGCTGCATTTTAGAAGTACTGAACAATGCAGATAATAAAAATTACATGGAATATGCAAGCAAGGGAGGCAGAAAAGGACAGATCCCCATCAAAGCCCACATTTGTTTGTCTTGACTGTATCTTTAGATTAGTCTGAAAAGTAAGATCTGGGATTAAGTCTATTAATATGCTTTTTCTTCCCTTTTCTTTTATAGAAAGCTGTCGCTGTGTGTTTTTGTCAGGGACATTAATGAGCTATTAATCACTTGTGTAAGTCAGAAGAACAAAAGGTCTGCTCTTACAAAGTTAAAGGATGCTGCTTACAAATGTTAGCTGTTCAAATCAGAAACATTTCTATTCAAACTTTATCTGCATTGCTGCTTTCCTAGCTGCTCATGCCTCTATATATTTTACTTTAAGATTTTAAAGTGGATGATTACTGAAGAGGGGCTTTAAAAACAGCCTCAGACCACATTTTACACAGTTCATGTATCACACAGGGGTTCTCAGAATCAATTATAGCAAGGGTCAAAGATCAGAACATTAGGGGGGGTTCAAGCATGGTTTCTATTCTACATTCCCTCCCCAGGAAAATCATGCCATTGTTGATTGAAACTGGTGAACTGTGGAGCCTAGATGAGTGAGTGAACATTTTTTAAATGATACTGCTGTCTTCTAAAATTAAATATCCTAGATGAGAAGGGTCAGTGCAGATTTGGAAAGATACTTTGCAGCCAAATGCTGAGATTTGTGATGTATCGAACAATGTTAAACTACCTAAGTGTTTAACTTTAGTATAGTTTTTGGAGAGTGATCTTAAATAAAATCAGTTGTCAAAAGGAGGGTCTACTCATACTGAGGTCAGTGGGGGTTTTTGCTGCTGACCTCATTAAAGCAGCCTTGATAAAAGTTCAGAAGCCTGTAATAATGCATACATATGTGTTGCATGGACCTAACACTTTTATTTACTGTTTACCACGAGCAGATTTACCAGGGGCCTTAGGGATCTGGAACCGCTGCTCACTAGTACAGCCTGGTCTGCGTCACATCCCAAACATAAGCAGCAAAAGAGGCCAAAAACATCTGCATCTTGGATGCGTCTAATCCTGTATATACCCTCTTAAAATATCAGTTGTAGCTTAGATGTTTGCCATGTGCTGGTTTTCAGGACTACTACTGGGAGATACCATTGTCTCATGTTCTTAGCTCTGTCATTCATTTGCTGCATGTCTCTGAGGAAACTGTATAATATAACAGTTCTCAAACACAAATACCAACATTTAGGTACCTTGATAGATGACCTGATTTTGTATGGTCCTGTTGATTGATATCCTGCAGAAAGTGAGGTTGTTGGGTGATTTGCTATTAATATCCAAGTTTGAAAGTGGGGGCTGCACCTTTTGTGACTATGGTCCTATAAGGATCATCCTCTTTCATAAAACATTATGGGAGTCAGGCAGAGAGAGGAAATATGCAATATGCCTTTATTGCGAAGATTTATATGTTTATTCTGGATAATGTGGAAGTTTGCATGCAGGCAAAGCCTTTTCTGAGGATTCATTTAAGTAATATTTTCTCTTCCACATTTGTTTGCTGATGTATTCTGTCTTCCTTTTGCAAGTTGCCTCTGCAGGTTGGTCAGTCATGAGCAGATAACGGGATTTTTGCATACACTGCCACAAGTGATCTTTCCCAGGTGATTGTTTCAATGACAGTCTTCCTATCACAAGGAATCTTCCTTATCACAAGGCACTTATCACAAAGGCTCCTCATCAAATATTTATAAAGAAGGCCTTCAAAAAGCAGATTTACTCACATAGTAATATATTACTGCCCTGTAATTCTCTTTTAATCTCTAATGATGTCAGTGGTCATCAGATTTTGAGTGAACTGAAAGAGGTCAATTTATTGGATTATCGCCCTGTGCAGGGCTTTGCTTGCAGTGTGCTTTTGGACTCTTAGCCACAGATTATGACAAGCTAAGTGAAGAAAACAATTCTGTAATTTGCAGTCATTGGACATTTAAAATCCTGTTTTAGACTTAGGTAGAAACCTTGCCTTGTAGCATGTTGTAAGATAAGTGGGACCTTTGCAAGCTGGTGAGAATGTGGTGTTTGAAAATCCTGCATCTTCTCCTTATATTTGCATTGCAGTTTGGGAGTGTTGCACTTTTTTTTAGTTGCTCTGTTAAAACTTCAACACCAAATAGCCAGGATTGTTCGCTCTCTTTATTTTTATTAGAACGTTCTACTCCTTTGCGTCCTGGAAATCTTCTAAGTCTGCTTGTTCTGACAGGAACTGTCACTTCTTTCCAATCTAGAATTAGAACCATAGACACTAAACTGCTTCATCCTACCCCTGAATACAAGGATTTAAGTGTGAAGGACAGAGGAGTAACAGCCTTCTGATTTGGACCTTCCCCTGAGCTTGGGCCCAGCTGTACACTAGACATTTCTATGAGTAACCACAAGAAAAGGAATGCAGCAAGTTTGAACAAGTTCCTCTTTGCTTTGTTTAGCAACATTTAGTGGAGTTTTATCAACAATGCTAGTAAGTTACAATAAGATAGGGAAACACCTTCTACATAAATCCACATTTAAACCATGTACATAACTATGACAATCAAAGCCATTTATTTGTGTGCTTCAGTATGGAATTAGGTATACCTTATGGAATTAGGTATACCTTATACCCATCTGAATGGGTATAAGGTATAAAATCTAAGTGCTAAAAAATGCAGCTAATTCTTGAAACAGGTCAGAGGCCACATAACCTAAGCTGGGTCTTCAAGGAAAGGATGTCTGGCTGTTTGAGAAGTGCTCAGTGGCTACATGGTACTTCAGAGTAATTGTAATTGGGCTTTGCATGAATTTTATCTCTTTACAATCTAGCTTTAAAGATATGATTGTCTTAAATTATAGTGTTTTTCCAGACTGTGAGACTGGTGAGTTGCAGGGAGTGACAATCCATGCGTATAGCAACTAAGACTGTTAGGCATTTGGGTTCCCCAGGTACATCCATGTTTTCTGCACTTAATTTTTATCCTGACAGAGCACTTTGAATGCAGTCTTTTGCCTGAGATTTTCAAGAGTCCAGAAGTCTAGCTGGAGCTTGATGTTGGAAGTACAAAACAAACAGCCATTGAGCTTGTCACAAGCGTGTCAAGTTGTGACTGTGAGTGGTCACAACATACAGTGGACTTGCTGCCCCTGCAATGCATTCTGGTTGCACTCCTACTACTGAGCTTTCCCAGAAAGTTGCTATTTCTTTTTTCTTCCTCCACAAATTTTTATCTTTATTTTCACACTCCCTTCTGTGGGCCTTGCAAGGAAGCTGCCAACCAGACTCCACTGATCTCTTAGGAGCAAACTCTGCCCAGGAACACAGCCTCAGAACTGGACACTAGAATTTCAAACAGTCAGACCCACAGTGGCACTCTAGGACAGACTTGCAGTATGGATCACGTCTATTTCAATCTACTCTTCCCTTCAGTGTTCCCTCTCAATACAACTGCTGTCCTGTTGTGAGAATAACTGCTGTTGCACAGCTTTAGGGGAAGGAGTTTGTCTCTTAATTTCATAGACATAAATTTACTAGGGAGGTTACAAGACTTTTGGCAAACTGCCGCGGCAGCCTTTCTCATTAGAACTGGCTGATGTGGCACCCACTCACATCACAAGACGTGGCTGCATAGCTGTGCAGCTCCAACTGTCAGACTAGGCCTGTGCCAGCTCTTGAAGAACACTACACAAAGACCGTTTTACTAGTTTTACTATTATTTATGATATGTGTTGAAATAGCGGTGGGGGACCCAAACTTTACTGTGCTTAGCAATGCCTGAATGTACCATAAAAAGACAATCCCTGTCAGAGTGACCTTCCAGTCTCCACAGACAACCTCAAGCCCTGGATGGTCTTGATTCTGACTTGCTTTCTCTGGCAAAGCTCCTGCCGAAATAATTTTGCCTTTGTGTATAATTTTGGAAATGTTGAAGGAAGCCATAGTAAGGGTATTTGCAGCTGGTGCTGTGGGCAATGGAGAACTATCTGCATCCTTTAACATGAATTTTCAGACATTTTCATGGATAAGCTAAAAATGTATATGAAGACTGATATGATAAGCTCTTTATATGCATAAAAACAAAGCCTGTATCTCCAAAATACTAACAGATTTTCCTCCTCAATAAAGTGAACAAAATATAAGCCAGAGTCAGTTTTAAAGCCAAATCCTTTCAAAGAGGTGTTGGCCAAAACAGGCGTAGAAAGCATTAAAACAAATAAAGTCCAGCTGAATTTTCATAACACACTGGGGTAGGTCTTAGTTATACTTTTCCGTGAGACCTTGGCAGTTATTACAACCAAACATCCCGCCTCACAACTGGTTAGTAGTGAGCTCAAAACTATCTGTCAGTGTAGCTGAACATGAAGTTTTTTGCAGGCAGTTATTTCCTCACTCTTGAACCCATTATGTCCTTCATGTTTAATTGCTTGCTTAGATTTTAGCCTGCCAGACCTGAAACTTCATACAAACACTTTGGGGTTTAGGTGGCTTTCTCAGACAGATGCCACAATTGCTGTCCTGCCTAAATGTCCTGACAATACGTACTGCAATACTGCTGTGGTAGAATTGCCTTTTAAGGGCAGAACTACAGAGTGATTTAGAAAACTCAGGCTTGCAGATTCGTATCTGAAACTCTGTTTCAGTCAATGGTATAACATCATATAACACCAGCTCTAAGTATCTGGAAAATTAAGGTACTCTGAGGTACTGAATCTTGTATATGGGATGATAATGGGACATAGTCTGTAGTGAAGTCAGTGACTTTCAGATGTGTGGTGATCAAACATTTGAGAGATCTCATAGGTGTTTAGTCATGTGAAATGAGTTTTATCTCCACTACTTTTTTCTCCATTCTGGGCCCCCATTTCAGACCCCTATCATAGTTAACAAGTTCACTGGTTAAGGTTATGATTTACACTGGCTACATTACAGCTTGGGAGAGAGGGTTTTGGTACCCCAGCATGTTGTGTCAACATCTTGCAGCAGCATTATGTTTATAAGCTATAGATATACATTCTTCTGGTCTTCAGCATTGCTCCACTGTCTTCATTTGAACTCCTCTGATTTATACCTGCAAATATCAAAGAATACCTTTTGAACATGCCATCTGAATTCCACCCTCAGCATTTCCAGTTCACAGTGCTGCAACTGTTTCTAAATATAACAACAGTACATTCCAAATTCTCTTTCTTTTCTTATGTTTATTTATAAACGCATGCCAAGAAGCTACAGAAAAGGGGAATTTCTGCGTCATTTATCATTCTGACAAAATTCATTGTGCCTTGGAAAAAAGGTTACCTACATTGCATTCCTCTTCCAAAATGACTCCTTTCTTTACTCTCATCTGTCAAAAGACATAGGAAAATGTATTTCTGCTGTAGAACTAGCTACTACAGTAAAAATAACATTTAAAAATGGTGTTAAATGTTTGCTGGTTCCATCTCTTCTGATTGATTTCTATTTCTTTTCCAGACCTTTGGTGCTGATGATGTTGTGTGCACAAGAATTTATGTAAGAGAGTAAAAACATCAATTTACTTGTCATCTGGGATGAAGTGGAGAACTGTGAAAATCCCCATTATAATGAGTATCTGTGTGTGCTGTTACTAATGCGGTGTTGTATGTGACCGTGTGTGTTATATCTGAACCCGTATCCTCTGTTAAGTGTACTTTGCTTTCATTTTTCAACGCAGACACTATTCCTTCCCAGTTTTATGCCATAATTTTTCGTGTCTGCTTTGTATTTTGTAGTTGTCACTTGCTATGGTTTCATCAATTATTAAACTTATTGGGCATAACTCACAGCCGGTTTTGGGTGTTTTTAATAGAAAACCCAGCAGTGCTTTGGTAAGGACTGAAACACTTCTTACCCTCTGTTGAAGTCAGCGTGGAGTTTCACTGCTGTTGGTTTGCACTATGCTGGCAGGGAACACCTCCAAGGGCAACACAAAGCGCAGGAGAGCAAGTGAATTGCAAGGCCGTTTGCAGAGCTGAAGGCTGCCCTCTTTAAACCCAGAGCTCTACTTCTTTCCTTCTTTCTGTCCCGTCTCCTTGTGAGAGTTGTTGAAGAACAATTTCTGTATCCTGGGGTTGCTGGGACTGTGATTCAGCAGAACCAGACAAGACAAGGAGAGATCTTTACCCTCTTTCCTGCTGCGTCTCTGAAGAATGCCCAGACTTTCCCTGTTGAGACACTCATTATCTAAGTACAAAACCCAGCTGTATCTACAGGACAAATAACATTATGATCATGACTAATACTTATTGTCATCACACCCAAGCACCTCAGGGCTGATCAGAGAGCCAGCACAATCTGACATACTTTACTTGTTTGGGCCATAAAAAGATAAAGCTAAGGAAAGCTGCTTTCCTCCTACCTTCTCCCCTGTGACAGAAAGAACTTCTGATGGCTGTACTCCCCCTCAGTTTACAGCTCTCACTTATGGTGACTCAATATTTCATTCTTTGAACAACTAAGTATTTCACAAACCAGGGCCATAGTTCAAGAATGAAAGAAACACCAAATTTAGTGTATTTATTCTGGCTCAGAGTTCTGGCCACAGCACTATCAAGTATTAGATTCAAGCTGAACAGACATTCCTCTAATGAGCTAGAAATTCTTCTGTTCTTCAGCCTTGGAAATACCTGGAGATTGAGACTAGGACCACTACTTATTTCAGAGCAATACCCAAGCTTCTCTGATCAACTTTCAGCTTTGCAAGAATAATTTATCTGCTTCGTGTCACCCAATTGAGTATATGCCCTGTTCACTGGACTATGCTTAATATTCAGAATGGGAAAAAAGGTCCAAATCTTTATCGTCTTGGGACATCCGTGGAAAAAATATTACTTTGTTCTTCATCACTCACATAACTATACAGAGGTATCCCCTTTGATAGGATTGTCAAACTGCTATGGAGATACCAGCCACCTGTTCTATACATCGCAGTGTGAGCTACAGAAGCACAACAGGAGAGAAACGTGATGTTTTCTGTCTCCTCTGCTCTGACAGGTCACACTTTCTTTCTCTGCCATCAGCACTCAAGATACAATATTGCAGTTGAAAAGGGGGATCTTTTCGTTCCACGCTCTAACCTTAAGCCAAACCCTGTTTCCAAGACCTTGGTTCAGTTGGTACCAATTAAATACACTGCATGTTAGCTCACATTGAAGCATGGGCTGAAATTAGTTCATCGTGGTTTGGATGCAGCTGAAGCTACCCCCCAAATTCCCATGAGGGGGAATAACAGAGATCTATCTTTATTTTCTATCTTCTTTTAAGATTCAAATGAAAATAGCTGGGTGTTTTTTTCCAAACAAATTCAACTTCAGGAGTATCTGGACCTGTTTGTGCAATCAACTGTGCCAAAGGGACTCCTCAAAAAGTGCCAGGCTGAGCTAACTCAAATCTTCTCAGTGATGCAGACAAAACTGTCTTGCCACATCAAGGCTGAGAAGTAAATAGCACTGTGTTGCGGGACGTGCTGGCACATGCCATATCCCTACAGCAACAGGAGCCCACCAACACTGAAGAGTGCTTTGCCTCCACCTCCCAGAAGGTGGATGTGGGGGCTGGTACAAGCTGATGAGGCAAGTAGTAGAGCCAAAGCCAGTAGGCAGCGGGGCTGTTTTGCCATTCCAGAAAAATGCTACTCTTGGCAATTATCTTTTCTGCCTGATGCACGGTTTGCAGTACAGTATGAACCTCCCATTGTCTACAGCGAGTGAGTGCGTTTATGGAAGCAGTGATTTCTATGTTTCATTTCTAGGAACGCTCATGCTAAGCTGTTGTGCTGCTCAAGCAAATATCCTTCAGAAAGCTTTCCCATCAACTGGAAAATACCAAGTCAGGTTTCCATCCAGTTGGCAACTACTATCCAAGTAGTAAAGCATGAGCTGCGTAACTGAATTGTAGAGGTTCTGATTAAAAACAGGCTCTTGAGATATGAGCTGCCCTGCATAGCTGGGAACTTTCTTCTTCCAGGATTGAAACTGTTCCCTTAAGCTTAATTTGCAGTCTGGCATGACAGAAGTTCCTTTCTTTAGTAATTTCAGTGTGGAAGCTTCACCACTTGATTGACTTTCATGGAGTTACGTTAGACTTACTGGTGCATGGGTAAATTTATATGAACAGAGACTAGAATTGGTCCAGGGTGTTAGTTTTATAGCTCACTGTTGAAACAGTGCAAAGGCCAAATTGCATTTTGTGAGTCCTCCTGGATTTGAAAGCTCTTCAAATCTAGGCACACAAGGATTTGGAATTACTGTACTGGCCAAAAGCCTTGCAGTTGTCTCTTGCCTTTTTTTTTTTGGCTGAGATTAAGCTCTTTTGGGAACACGGAAGTTGAACAATGCCAAGGTGGCCAACAGAGACAGTTATATCCACTTTTTGTGTAAAAAATCATGAATTCACCCCTGCCAGATGAGGTGATGGAAGCAGAGTAGAGTTACTGTAGCTGGGATCCACAAAAACTTAGTCTCACAATGTCTGAGTGTTAAACAGTTGCTTCGCAGAATAGGATCCTGAAAGCTTCAGGCGGCCACTCTCTGCATGTAGGAGGGAAGGGTTTTTATAGACAAAGGTGCCAGGACAATGGAGCACCTAAGTGTTACATAAATGGTTTGTTGATTACTCGATAGCATGTGAATATCTGAAAAGGGCCCCAGGGATTTTATGGATATTGCCTTCCAGATTCAAATCAAAGAGATGCTCTCTGCATCACTAGGTCTTTTAATCAGGCCTGTGATGGAACAAGCAGTGGAGCCAGGGACAGAGCCTGGTCCACAGTTATGTATACCAGTGAGCAAGCAGAAACTTCCCTCCCCTCGTGCTGCTGTGTTCTAATTGGCACTGGAAGCACTCAGTAGTTACAAGCATAGAATGGTGACAAACATAGCTCACGTCTGTCTGGACGGCAGCTGATTGACCACTGTATGCATAACTGCATGTCTGCTGTCTTGCAAGTCTCTGTGCCCAAGAAACTAGTCTTCTGAGGTCTGCCAGTGCTCAATGGCCAAATGACTTTCAGGCTTTGTAGCTAAGAACTTTTTCACCATATCAGTGAATGCATTAGGGAACTCTTCCCTGTGAGTTTACTACATACTACTATTTATGTTTGAGAGTATTTCTCCACACAAGGCTAGCAGAGTACAGATAGCAAAGAAGGTGAGAAGTCTTCATCCCTGAAATCTAATGGCTTTGTCTTGCAGCTGCCTAAACAGTCCTGCTGGTTGAATGGATACAGTACAAGTGAGTATTCAGTTGCCTAAACAGAGATGTCTACAGCTATTTTAGAAGTCAGGGGTATCCAAGACAGTCTGCACAAAGCTGGCATGTAACACAGGTTCTACATGAGATCTGTGCCTGTTTTTTGGAGAGGCAGAGCAGACCAGGGATAAAACCTGAGGGCACCACAACATAGACGTCTGTGATTAGGCAACTGACTCCCAACCTATGTGCCTGCAGGCTTGGAACCATGCTGTGCACTGCATTGACCACACTGATAACTAACTGCTAGAGCAAGACAAAGAAAGGGTTATACAGATATCTGCAGCAACTTGGCACATGTGTAACATTTCACAAAAACAAAACTTCCCCACATGAGTGGAACACTAGGATACAGCAGCCATATTCTCTGCCCTCCGGCAAGAAGAGTTCATTTTAGGATTTTCTTTTGATTTTCCATACTTTGTTCTTATGCTGCTTTCATAAAACATTCATTGTTTTTCATTTCTCCAGGAAAAATAAACATCCTAACCAGTAAACAGATCAGGCAGTGAAGTTGGATTCAAAATAGTCCACTGTGGGAAACCCAAAATATGAAAAAAAAAATTCTCAGCCAGAAATGCGATATTGCATTGAATTGTTCAGTTCACACGTATCTGCACCACCAGCTACTATTGTGTGGGAACAGAGCTGTCCCACTGCGTGCTGTATGCCCTGGAGAGCTAGTGCTGCTTTAGCTCAAGTGATCACTTTTTGCACTCTGAGTGCAAAGACATCTATTTCTGCTGACAGGAAGCTCCAAATCCCACATGGCTGCAGAATCCACAGTCTTTGAATCCTGTTAAAATATGTGCTGTCTGAATACTGCCATGCCAGAAGTGGAACAACCTAAGGTGTTCTCTTTGATATTACAGATGGCTGGCTGGCTGGCTGGCTAAGGAGGGTGTTGGAAAAAAGGCTGTTATTAATCATGGAGGAATAGGTGGGAATAGATGTCATAGTGCTTTCTGCTAATTTCTTCGTTATCAGCATTCCCCACATTACCTCCCAGAACATGAGGCCAGTTTCGATCAGAAGCGAAAAACCTCAGGATTCTTGAAATATTAGTTCACTCTTACTTGACTCTGCGCTCTGCTAAATCAGAGTGAAGTTCGGACACCAGGGATTTTGTCTTATATCTCTCATTCTGTTTCCATCTGAGGGCCTCCCAGTGATGCTCCGCCGACATGATCTGTGGCAGGCACTCAGTTTTTTTGCCATGTTCTCAAAGCAAAGAGGAATCCAACAGCTTATCTATTTTACAAGCTTGAGTACGATTTGCTGTTAGAATTTGCTGTATGGTCACACACTGCAACTAGAGAGGAAGGTGGTGAGGCTTGAAATGGTTTCTGCAGCAGGCAATACCACAGCCTTCTGCTAGATACTGCTATCTCCCGCACAAACCAGCCGCTCACTTGGAGAGGCAATTCAGTTGCTCAAGCAGAAAAGAGGTGACAGTCCAGGTGACTGAACTACAGATTTCTTAAAAGCCCTGTAGATATGTATCTCAATGTTAATCTTCACAAGATGTTCATGTGG